TTTACTGAGGACGATAATACACGACTGCGTCTTCAGAAATTAGAAGCTCTTGATGAGAGGAGGTTCGAAGCGCAACAAAGACTTGAATGTTATCAAGCTCGTCTCTCAAAGTCGTTTAATAAGAAGGATCGAGCTCATTCTTTTCAAGTAGGAGATCTGGTGCTTGCTGTGAGAAGACCCATCATAACTACTCATCGTATTGGGAACAAGTTCGTGTCAAGATGGGATGGACCGTATGTCATCACGAAAGTCTACACCAATGGCGCATATAAACTGATTTATGAAAATCGAGTGAAGATTGACCCTATCAATGGAAAATTCTTGAAATGCTACTACGCTTAGTTGTACTATGTATTAATTTTTTTAAAAAAAAAACCAAAAAGAAAAAGATACTCCTGACCCGCATGAGTATAAACGGTGAACGGTAATCACCAAAAAGCTTTGCATGTGATTAAACTGCTAAATTCTCCATCAATGTGAATATATGTGGTTAAACTGTTAATTCTCCCACTAAGGTGTTATGTGGTTAAACCTAATACTTTACTTTGTCTGAAGTAGTTAAAGAATAGTCACTTCTGGCCCGCATGATTATAAACTGTGCACGACACCCCATAAACAAATTCATGTGATATTTTGAACTATGTTATGACTTGATCCTTTTAAAAGGTACGTAGACAGCTTAGATATTTTCTAAGTTCAGTTATAAATTATGTTCGTCTTCTAAGTTAATCGATTGATTTAGTGAGGAAATGAAGTGCAACAAATATTAATGTTCGAGATCGCATGATGTGAGAAGAAACAAACCCATTCCATTCCATAACCTTGAGTTTTATTACATGAAGAAATAAGCAAAAGAGTCCCAAACATGTCTAAGCAAAAGGATTCAAGCTCCCTAGCTTCCCTTTGGTCTCTCTCAAGTTTGACTTCAACAACTGCTCAATCACTCCTTCTTCCAATGGTGGAGCACTATTGATGGCAAGGATCTCCTCTTGAATTAAATTCACCTTAGCCTTAGCATTGTAATGACTCCTGCTGTTGCTTCAATGTTTGGGATAATGGTTACGCCTTCTTCTTCAACTGCTCAAGCTCTTTTGTGACTCGCTTTAGCTCAGCTTGAGTGGACTTGACTTGATTTGATTCAATATCCTCTTTCGCTTTTTCTACACGAAGACGATCTCTAGCTTCAGCCAATTGTCAAGCAATTTGTTCCTTTGTCACCTTCTCCGAAGATTTCGATCGTGCCCCGTCGTAAGAGTCGGCGTTGTCGAACAAAGCTTTCAATTAGCTCTTGATAACGGAGAAGATTGGTTGGACTTTGTGGTCATCTAGAAGGAAGGTCATATCGACAGTTGATGGGTTTGGTCAACTTCAACGCGTGAACCTCATTGGTACGACCACCTTTGATCTCTTCACTGGCATCTTCAGCAACCTCCGGTATAAATATTGTCGCCACAACTATCTTCAACCTTTTTGGTATCTCGTCCAACCTTGACACGGTCCTCTTCAGATAGTTCAATATTAACATGGTCATCTTCGGCCCTTAAGAATCCACCTTCCACCTAGCAGTAGCTCGTCCAGTTGTCGTGTCTCCATCTTAAGCCTTTGCAGTCGCTTGTCCTAACATGGTCATCTTTGACACGTGAACCTGTGGCCACGGTCATCTTTGACCTTTCCGGTGAGATGTGACGTCCTAAGTTGATGTGTGGCAAGGTTGTTTCTTTAGTACAACTTGGTCGGTAAGATGTGTCATCCTAAGTTGATGTGCAGCAAGGTTGATTCTTCTGTGCAGCTTGGCCGGTGAGATTGTCGTCCTAAGTTAATGTTGTACAGAAAAGTTGATTCCTTCATGCAGCTTGGCCTTTGAGTGTGTCATCCTAAGTTGACGTTGAGCGGCAATGTTGATGGTTCCTCCGTGCAGCTTTGACTTTGAGATGCACTATGACGTTGAGCTGCAAAGTTGATTCCTTCATGCAGTTTGACCTTTGATAATATTGCCCTAGCAGTGGCAGTAGCTCCATCTCTCGTTAAGTTGAATTGGTTGTGGTTGCTTGCAAGATCCATGTTGTAGACTTCTAGTAGGCATACTCGTGAGTCTACTTGCTCATGTGAAGAGACTTTGTAACTCTTGGCCATGTCCTCGAGAAATCACCAATGATGGGGTCTTCGACTGCAAGGCGAGTCCATTTCTCCAGCGGTTGGTGTTTGTCGTCGAGAACCAATCGATGTATTTTCCTCGGATGGAGGTGCTCGTGAGAACAGCCTCAGTTCAGCCCGGAAAGCCCTCGAACAGCCTTGGTTCAGCACGGACAACTTCCCAACAGCCCCGAGGAGCAGCCGAGCCGCCCGAGTAGCAGCTTGCAGCATCGTTTCAGACTATATAGATCTCGAATCGCCTCACTTCAGCCCGGCAGCTCCTCGTTTCAGTCTGGATAGATCCCGAATTGCCTCGCTTCAGCCCGGAAGCTCCTAAACAACCCATGGTTTCAGCCCGAACAGCCCCGTAGAAAACCAAAAGCACCCGAACAGACTCGTTGGCAACCTCGGCAGCCATACGGACGGCTCGGACAACCATACAAACGTCTCAAATGAAGTGCTGCAGCTCAAACATGGCAAAAGAAAGAAGAAGGAACAAGAAAATATCAGAAGAGGAGTATGGTGTTCCCTTTCGAGCAATTGATCGAACACCTTGCTACCGAAAAGGTGGGAGCTGGATGTTTATGTTGTCTTTTAATGTAGTCTACCAAAAACTTTTCAGCAGCATGAACACAACCAACAATCAATAACAAAAAAAAAAAAAAAAAAAAAAAAAAAAACAAAAGCGTCACAGAGCTAAAAAAAGAAGAAGAAGGAGGATATGATAAGGATCTGTTCCAGAATATTGATCGATTGTTGTTTGATGAATCAAGTCATCAGGTCATACCCTTTTGATAGGGTGGAATTCTGCAGAATTTAGGAAATTTCATCTCCTAACATGAGGAGGAATTGGCATGATGCAGTACGCGTGTTTTAAAGTTGTAAGGTTGGAAAAGAAAATATATGATGCATATGCTCAAATATGGACTTTGTATATAATATATTCGCGTGGTGCATATACTGGTAAGGATGATTAAACTTGGAATCCTGTGGAGTTTATTTTTGCTTGGAAAGTGAATATCCCAAAATCAGTTTGGAATTAATTTTTCGTGGCTTTCCTGATTCAAGCATGCATATCTTTGCTTTGGAGTTTATTTGGAAATTAATGATCATCCTGCTGTTTTTGAAAAGAGTTGTTTTGTTTGGGTGATATCATAGAAGGATGATCCAATTGTGGCGGGCCCAATTTTCTTAGTGATGGGCCATATCTTCTTAACCATATTACTTAAATTAAATGAGCTTTGGTTATGGCTCGTTAAGTGGGTAAAATTAGGCTAAATTTTACTTTTCCAAGGATTGGGCTTTTAAAGACTTAAAAGTCCAAAATAAAACTTCTCATATTATGCTAAAAGAATTTTTATTGGCCCAAATGCATAGTCAGAATATGTCGTGACTTATTCACTCCAAGACACGTCGTCCGTGAACAAGTCTCGAGGGGGCATTTGTAGATAAAGGAAATTTGTGGCCAATCAAATGGCGCCACGTGAAAATTAATATTTAATTAATTGATATTTTAATATTTTAATTCTTGACCAATCAAATATTGTCAAGTGTCAAATCTTAATTCTTGATAATAATCACGTGTCTTCTAGAAGATCTTGGTAGATCTAAGTAGATCCAAAAGATCTTATGTGAATCATCATGGACCAATCAAATCGCGTCCTACGATTCTTAAATTTGGTAGGGTTCTTTCTCCTACACTTATAAATAGGGGCTCTCCCTAAAGCCAAAAAAACACACATCATAATTCATATTCAAGTCCAAGAGCTCTAGAAAATTCTCTCGACGAGATTCAAGTGTTCTTGAAGATTCAAATGCGTTCTTGAAAATTCAAAGCAAGATTCAAGCGAGTTCAACCTCAAGCTTGAAGATTCAAATGCGTTCTTGAAAATTCAAAGCAAGATTCAAGCGAGTTCAACCTCAAGACTGGCGTTCAATCCGGAAACAAGCTGCAAAGCCTCCGATTAACGTTAGTAAAATCAAAACCGACGTGGAGAAGATTCAAGATCTACTTTGCGACGAAGACCAAGGATTCGTGTTCTTCGCGTTCTTGGGATATTACGGCGTTTGATCCGAAATCAAGGTGTTGGCCCTCGGATTAAAGTTTATTCAAGTCAAAACAAGTCAAGGAGAAGATCAAGCCGAAGATTTCGCTCGAAGACTTAAAACCGTTCGTGAGAAGAATCAGAGGATAAAATAAAGACTGTAACCCGCTATATTAATTTTGATTCGAGAAATTCATTTGAATAATATTTTTCGTGTTTATAAATTCAATACACGAAATTTGTTGTTATAATAAGTGCAAAAGTAACTACCACGACATTTGTTGTGCCTATTTCATCTCGATTGATATCATGTTCATATTATTCAAATAACGAGCATGTTGTGCCAATAATTGTCGTGGCTATTGTTGTAATATAAATTGAAACAATATGTTGTTCCAATTCTTACGTGGCGATAGGTATTACACATCAAAGTATATTGATTCAAATGATGTTATTATACATATATGCATTCAACATTTAGTGACAATTTTATTGTTGCAATAATGATGAAGATTTAAATACAAAATATTTATATGTTAATTAAACGTGAATGATACAACATAATTCAACCAAAAATATATTGTCATAGTAGACATGTTTCTGAATCAAAATATACATATTAGATATATTCATTCCAACTTCACAACCAACTACTTTGTTTCAATGGTTCCCAATACACAAACAAAATACAACATGTCAAAAGTCTTGGGACCTAATCAAAACATTATGTTATACTTGAGTAAACCCCATATAAATTACTTGGTTCTCTTGCTTCAAAAAATATACCAAAAGAGTCGAGACCAAGCAAAATGTTAAAATATATTAAAGTATCAAACTAACATTAACATTGCTTGTTCTCATTCTCTTGATGAGTGAATTGAGCATCCGTCTCCTGCTCTTCATCAACATCAATACAACCCTAGCCTTTAGTCGTGCAAGCGCCATTGACATTTTCTCAAACTTCAACAAAAAAATAAAAAATAAAATAAAACAAAGACATTAATTACAATTCCGTACCAAATGACCAAATAGTATCTTGAACACAAAGCAACGTGCATCTTCAAGAAAAAAAAAATTGTAAAGAACTTTCTACGAAAAGCATAGAAAAATAGCGACAAACTATAATGCAAACACACAACCATAAAACTAACAAAGTGAAAGATTAGAATGAGCATGGTCGAACATCAACTAGAAAATATAATGAAATGTACACTGATTAAGAATAAAAGGCCCAAACACTGCACCATATTAATTATATAATTAATAAATTTAGAAACCAACCTAAAAAAAAAGAGAATGCAACATCTTTGCACCTAATGTTAATTAAATCAAAGTCATGTTGCAGGTATAAAGTTCAACAAAGTTTAAGCTAATTTGTCTACTTAAGAGTTTCATTTAAAATCATCAAAACCGAAGATTCAATTACTCTTATAAGCAAAGAGTTCAAAGAACCAATATTTTTTTTAGCCTTATATAACTCATCAGCACTTATCTCCTACGGATTTCTACAGCAAAAACCAATGACAAAACTTCTTTGCTCCGAAGAGTGTAGTCAGTCATAAATTTTACGTAAAGAAGAAATGCAACACACTAAAATGAAAAATAATAAGTATACTATTTTGATGTGTCTGTTACTAGTAATGCCACAAGAAATAAAAATTTCTACTGTACTTTGTTGCACAAATAATAAAGATCCATAACAAACCAAATTAAAATCCAATGAAGTGCATTCACTTGAATCATGAATGAAATGTCAAAAGTCCAAAAGACTAGCGTTAAATAAGTGCAAATATAAACATACCTCCTTCAGTAGATTGAGTATCTTTTATAGTAGAATTTGAAGTAATAGATGATTCTGGAATATCATAAATGGCAGAGGACTTGGACCCCTTAAGGATCCGTCCAAAACCGCATTTATGACCTCGTCGAATATCAAATACTTCCCGCATAATAGCTCTCTCATCCACAATGTTATCAGGGAAAGTGAGTTGTGTTGAGTCTCTTACTTGAAGAATACAAGAGTACATAAAACTAGTTTATGAAAACTAATGGGATATAAAAGTAAAGACAATTTAACAGCACTAAAAACGTATAAAAACAATTCAAAGAAGAGCATGGGAATAAATAGGAAGACATTGAGTAAGTCGAACGTTGATCAATAGAGATAAATAATTTACAGACAAAGAGGACATTGAATAAGTGTATGATTTATGTTAGGAAACAACATATTCTAATTTTTGAATTGAATTAATGAGTGGGGGTGGAACACAAGTCTACAAACCTGGAAGCTAAAGTGTTCATCAAGTTTTAATTATCTTACTCTTTTTCCAGGGTCTTCAAGCTCTCACATATGAGCCCATATTTAACCAATATTATTAGGTGGGCCTTTCCCAAGGTCTATTCACAACATAATTGCATCTAATATCTCACAATTAATTAAAAAAAATTCTATATTTTGTGACGAATTTATTTTTCATGAACTAAATTTTGTCATAATTTGTTACGTTAAGATGACAAAATTTTTTTTTTGTCACAAATAAATTATATTTTATGACAACATTTACTTTTGTCACTAAATAATACTTTTTATGACGATAGTTTGTGTGACGAATAATAGTTCGTCTTAATTTGGTATGCAATAATGACAATTTTTATTCTTGTCGTTAAAAATATTCTATTTGCGACATCATATATTTTTGTCACTAAATTACATATTTTACGACAACTATTTTTTATAATGAGTGATATTTTGTCACAATTTCATATTTGTTAGTGACAATATTTATTTTCGTCACTAAAAATTACCTTATTAATGACACTCTTACTTTTTATCACAAATGTACATATACTATGACAAATTCGTCACAATTTAACAATTAACATTGACAATTTTCATTTTTCACTAAAATATACCTTATTTTTTACTTTGTTAGTTTCATCACAAAATTACACTATATGATAAATTTTTTCATAATTTGGTATTTAATAATGATAAGTTTTATTATTCATTTTAATTTATCTTATTTATGGTACAGTTAACTTTCATCTCAAAGTTACATATTTTATAACTATTTTATCATAATTTAATAATATAAAGAATAAATGTTATTTTTATTACCGAAATGTACCTTATTTATGACGAATAAAAGTGAACTTATAAAATGTCATTTTGTATATCAATATTGATTGTAATATATTCATTAGTTTATACATTTAATATTGATATAAATATATCTATATTTTACGGTCACTATTTTTATAAATTATATATTTATATGTATATTATATATTTTTATAAATTATATACAATGACCAGGTATATTCGACTGATTGGATTTAAGTAAGGAGAAATTTTTTATAAATTATAAGTATAAAATATGTTTTCATATATTTAATATATAATTTTATCATATTTATTTATTTATTTATATATATGACATACATAGTTTTAATAAATAAAAAATTAATATAAGTAACATGTAATAGTTAATAAATATAAAAATTGTAAAACCATGTCATATACATTGGCATAGCTCAGTGGTGAGAGTCACTTTGAGATACAAGAGGTCACAACTTCAAATTTCAATATATGCAAAATTTATAAATGTCAATATGGTTTGTGTGGAAGCTTGTGGGCTCGCCCTTCCAAGGTGTGCCGAGTGGTGGATTGTGATAAATAAAATAATTTTTTAAAAATAAAAATAATAATTTATTAATTTTTTTTGGTGAAATTCGTCACTCTTTGTTAGTGTTTAAATGACGAATATTTAAATTTGTCATATAAAAATATATTTAAGTGACAAAAATTCGATTGCAATAATGACAAGTTCGTCACTATAGGTTAATATTTAGATGACAAAATATCAGTTCGTCATTTGAATTCGATCTTTTAGTGATAATTTAAGAATTCTAACGACGGATTTTTTTATATTTAAAGTGATGAGATAGACGTCACTATAACTAGTTTTTTAATGACAAATCGTAATAATGTCACATAGACATTTTGTGACGCGGCTACGGCGACGAATGCTGCGACGAAATCTTTTCGTCACTATGTAGTTTTAGTGACGAAAAATAGATTTTTTATGATGAATATTTTCGTCATAAAATATCAAATTTCTTGTAGTACAACTCATAAAAGATTGAACAGTAAATCTAAGACTCCAAGTGCCAGGAAGATTAAAGTTTACACAGTTGCTAATTAGAAAGAAATTAATTGCGCAGAAGACAACACGATTTTAAAACACATTTATTGAAACAAATGGCACAATGAGCACAAAATGAAAACATGAACACAAAAAGATACCCGAATTTGCCGCCCCTGAGAATTATATTAGTTTTGATGCTATTATCTATCACTGCTTTCGAAGTTACTGTTAAATGTGGTGTATTTGTAAAAGAGCTAAATGAGACCTAATGACCAAAATAAGTCTTAGAAGAGCTAAAAGGGACCTAATACCTGAACATGTCTTAGAAGAGCTAAAAATGACCTAATGACCTAAATAGGTCTTAAAAGAGCTAAAAAGGACCTAGTGTCCTAAATAGGTTTAGAAGAGCTTAAAAGACCAAATGACCTAAATAGGTCTTATAAGGTACCTTCACCCGGATTCAAAATATCTCAACGATAACAGCCAAGTGTGAACACATCAACAGGGACGGATTTAGATATAGTATAGGGGGGCTATTGTCCCCCCCCAATTTTTATAATTTTTTCTACTATATATATGTCTATATATATACATTTTACCACAATGTTAGTCTTTCTTACTACCTAAAATATGTAATACATAAAAAAAATATATTGAATTTATACATGTATTCTATAATTATTACTAATTATTACTATGGACTATCTAATAATCCTTTATAACTACATTATATCTTTCAAGTAAATTTCCACCCTCTCCAAGTGTAATATTTGGTGCTTTTTCTTTTATATTATAAAGCTTAATTGAATGGAATGTAAGAGATGGTTGAAAAGAAATTATTAATAGAAGAGCATGAGTGGTATGTAATTTCACGGAGTCAGATAAAAAATTGCAACAACTATTAGTATTGAGTCAATAGTTGATGGGTCTCGTGATTTGAGATAATGTCAAACACAATTTTAAAATATCAAAGCTGAAATATTATGTCTTTTGTAGAGCATATTTATTATTTATTTTATCCATTTTATAATACAATTCTAATTTTATATCTATATAAATGTGTGATATATTAAATTTTATATATTCCCTATTAAACATATATATTATTATTATATTTAGTCACATTTGAGAGAAACACGCTTTATGTATTCTCAGCACTTTTAGTTGTTCTAGGCTTAGTATAAATAGCATTAGGATTAGCATTTTTACTCACTTTTCACTTTTCTCTCAGTCAGATATTTTGTAATTGTTCTCTCTCTTTGTTCATGTTCCTCGCGAACTCTCTGTAATATTTTCCTTTTCTAGATTCAATAATGAAGTCTTTTCTTTAGTTTTCTGTACATTTCACATCATAATATTCCCTCTAAGGTGTTATTGGAGTTAAGTCAAACTGAATACCCCATGATCAAACTCGTGTTTGTTTAATAAATAAACCGTCTCAGCTTTACTCATTTAATAAATAAAAAAAAAATGTGAGCTGAGCTCGTTTCGTTTAATTAACAAATTCAGTTAATTGTTCAATTGTTTACATATATTAACAAGATGAGGTGAAACTTTCATTGGTCAAATCTATTATGTTCACAAGCAATTTATTTCGAAAACAACTTCAGTCCCCCAAGATATAATTCTGGATTCGTCCCTGCACATCAAGATAATCCTAGTCATAAGGATAAGGACGAATCTCAAGCAGTCAAATGTCCCTTTCGCGCAGCCCATTTTACTTCCAGGAAACTCTTTCTTGGGCACTACGACAATATTATGGTAAGGTCACCATACTTTATATAAGCGGTAAAGATATGTTTAATGGCTTTTTCTGCTTTCTAATTTTTTATGATATATGTAATTACTTTCAGTTTTCATCCTCTTCCAAATCCTTCACTAACTTGATCGTAGGAGTACTAATGCTGAGAGAATCTCTAGGCCCCTTTTACAAGTCATAAGCTCCGTCGTGGACAACTTTATCTCAGGTGACCAAATTATTTGGCCCAACCAGAGGTTTTGAGAGGTTCATTCAGCTTGAATCACAGCTATTTGGTGGAGCACCATCACCAGTTGTAACTTGAAACACTTGTGTTTGTATATGAGAAAATCCAATCCATACTCAATTTATATTAAAAAATCTAACTCAACTTTAACTCAATTCTGCTATCTTCAATATTATCAATATAATTAAATAATATCAATCAATCATTTTTACACATCACATCAACTTTAATTTACTATTCACATCTCACATAATTTTAACTAACCATTATTTCACACCATATCTCTCATGTTTTTACATCAAAATTAACCATACTGTTTTTATTTTATTTTAATTATTATTATATCATAAAATCAAAATCCCACCAACAACTAACCATACTGTTTTTTTCAAAATTAACTCTGGTTAACCGAAAAAGCTCATTTTGAGCGGATTTATTTGTATAGACACACGCTCTTAAGGCGTGCTTGGATACTAATATATCCGCTTAAAATGATTTTTTTGGTTTGCCAATGTTAATTTGAGAAAATGTGTTATGATTAATTGTTAGTGGAATTTAGAGTTTATATTAAAAATATTTAGAAAAATAATTAAATTTAATTTGATGTAAAATATGAGAGAAATGATGTGAACTGATGATTAGTTTAAATTATGTAAGCATGCATAATAAATTAAATTTGATGTAATTTTCAAGGATAATTGATTGATATTAATTGAATTTTGAATATAAATTGATTATGGATTGAATTTTTTTAAACAAAACGCCTCTTTAGTTTGTGTAACCTTGTGGCCAATCATCCGGGTTGTGTTCGAGCTCCGGCTAACTGTGGTTACAGTTTTCTGGATGATGAAACTCCTTTTCTTGAAGTTAGCTTTGAACATGTCAATTTCATTCATAACAAGGTTGACACCGTAACCAAAAGAAAAATCAAATATTCTCCACGCCGCTATAAAACAAGTTCTGAGACTGAAATTGTAAAGCAGCATTGGAATGCGTAAGGAAAAAACGGACCACGCACTCTTCACGTACATGTGCGCCAACAGTGTGAAAACACTTCCATTTTTATATATTCTGTTTCGATTAGATCATGCTCAATGGTGGTGGGTGGACTTGGAAGGAAAAGTTATCAAGTTCATTGTTACGTGATTCACTAGTGACGTCATTGATCTTTCAGACTGGAGACGGGGGAGGTTTTACACTTCCATTTTTAAATATCAGGATTTTTTGCACTTACGGAACGTGATCCAAAAGTGAGTATTTGGGAGGACCAAATAATCTCAAATGGGTGCCACTTACAGTACGAAATCTTTAATTTTTACTTGTTGAGACCATGTGTCAACATTGGTGCTTAGACAAGTTTTTATTTTTATTGATTTTTTCACTTTTAATATAACAATGTATATGAGATATAAAATAATTTAAAAAATAATAAAAAAGGGGCCAAACGGATTCATCCCACCTAATTGTAGGGGATCACAGGACACATTGGGGAGGCAAGTGAAGGCCTGGTTTAGGTCTAGGTTTAGAACTACTCAACTCGACCAAACTCCTTGCCACCCCTAACTGCAATTCGTAGCAATAGAACTTGCTTTGCCATTAATCATGACATACAACATTTCATTTAATAAATTACTATCCTTTTAAATATCTATTTATTTTTCATTCTTCTTATACTTAGGCAGTTACGCTCTAGTCCAATAGTATATACTATATTAATATACTAAGTACATGTATTGGTATGATGCATGGGTTGTAATATAAATAAATGAGAAAATATTTATTTGTATTATTATTATTTTAGTTACTTTTTCATGGTATATTTATATATGTTGAATTTTTCAAAATTTCACAATTTCTAATTCTTATTAATTACTTGTAAAACTTATTATTACACACTTGTCATTAGAATAACTGACATAGTTGTACGAAAAAAATATTATTACAATTATTTTAATTTATTTTTGTCATTAGAATAACACACATAGTTGGACAAATAATTTGTTAGTTTCTCCAATCAATGCATATTTAATTTTACACCCAGTTTGCATTTATTTTTTGATCAAAATTTTCAAACCAATGTGAAACAAATGTACTAATATTTTATGTCAAGTTATTTTATATCAATCTTTCACATAGTTACTCGACAAATAGTTTATCATTTTATGGTAATGTTCACATGCATATGTTAGAACATCTCCAATACTCAATGTTGTAGTGACAAATTACATTCAACATCAACATATTTATTAATATCACAACTTTTTATCCTCCAATGTACAATGTGATCACAAATGTTGTGATGATGTGAACATAATTAATGTCTACAATGTAGACAAGAATATGGTTCATTGTGCATTAAAGATGACACTTAAACTAAATATTGTGCATTAAAGATGATTTTTTAATTTAATAGTTGCGAACTCAACATTTGTCTTACATGGTTCACAATATATTTAATTTTTTGGCATTTGTCAAAATTTATTCTACAACAACATTAGAGCATTGGAGATGTTCTTATACGTGTATTAAAGTTAATTTCATAGTAATGCACTAATTAAATTGCTAGATATACTATCATTAAAATCATGTTTCTATAAATATCTATAGATAATAAATTTTTTTATATTTTTCATGTAAAATTCAAGGAAATTGAATTCATTTCATTGATTTAAATAGCTCGTTACAGTGCTTTTTTTTAAAAAAAAAAAATAGCGTTTTTCTTAGCTTACGCGAAATATTGAAATAATACGTTTTTTTTTACGTTATTTCACGCTATTTTACGCTATATTTCTGCAACGATATTTAAACAATAAAATATTCGAAAACATACATTTTTTAGGGATCAGAGTCACACTTTAAATGACTACTAAAAATTATAAGTTTTGATAAAATTTGAGATCATTATAAAAAAATTGATCTAATTTTATCATATCATTTTAATTTTCGATATTTGACAATTAAACTAAACAATAAAAAGTTTGGTTAGAATTAAGTTGTAGCTAAATTGAAAAATTAATTAAAATGTACATACATAAAATTAAACTATGACTTACCTCATTATATTTTAGTTGTTTGTTTTAACTTTTTAGCATATCCGCTTTATTATTTACATATAAAATATTTAAATATTCATGTTAAGACCTTTACATTAAACATTTGAGAAAAATTATTCTTAAATGTTGTTAATTCATTCAAATATTATGATAATTTTTGAAATCAAGCATTCAGTTTTATTATATGCATCTATATACATATATATAATATTTTTGTAAAAATAATTTATTTCTACCCAAATAGCTTATGCAGCACGCTGACACGCAACACTATTTATGTTATGCAGTACAAATACCAAAACGTGACACATTACTCTATACGCGTTTTAAAACACTGATTCATTTACAAAATTTTCAACATTGGTTAATGTGCAACAACATTTGTATAACATATAAATCAACAACAAAAAATATCAAATTAATGCATTAAGAAGATTGCACCATATTAATTGGCATAATTAAATATTTAAAACTAATTAGTTAATTGAAAATCTTGCAAATGAATTTCATTAATAACATAAACTATTTAGAGGACAAATGGGTTAAATGAGAATCTTCTATAAATAATTACACAGTACTATCTCTCTCTATATAAGCAAAATAACTGATAGCATTTTCCACTTTTTTTTATATATAAATTAGAGAAAGCGACCGTTATGTTTTACATTTTATAACAATATTTTTTAACATTTTTATCATATAATAATTACTATTACTACGAATTTATTATAAATATATATATATATATATATATATATAATTGCTGGCTAATCCTATTTACTAAAAACTTTAATAAAAAGATTTCAGTTTCCGCCCAAAGACGTTACAGGGCATGTATATATAAATTTTTTTTTAATAAACACACACCTTATTATTTGCATGGATTATGTTGATTATTTAATATGATTAGACAGTTACAATCACGTCCAATATGAATTATTTTCCCAATTAATAATTAGATATTTTCTTATTCTTTTTTATTTTGCTCCATGAATAATTAAAACACATATACAAATAATTAATACATTACATTTAATAATACATTAATTGACCACCCGAAAAAATAATAAAAAAAATTACAAATACGTTCTTAATTGACCACCCTTAAGCTTCGATTAGACCTGCAAAAAAAATAAAAATAATAAAAATCAGTAAACAATATAGGAATGTTATTATTCCATGATTTTAGCACATGATTTATTCATATTTTATTATTAATTGTCAGTTACAAAATATGAAGAGCAATGGAAGATAAGTGGCGGGCAAACTGAATTTTAAACTAGATGAAATGAAATTAGAAAACATTTAAAAATGGGCGGGTAATCTAAATCTAAATAAAATTCAAACGAAATTTAAAAGCAATAAAAAAAGCGACGGGAGTAGTATTTGTGGGTTGGGTTGTTAGTTATTAAGAACCAAATATTAGTTATAAATTCAGAAAGGAAGGAAAAAGAGAGGGATGCAGAAAAGTGAAAGATAATGTGATATATTACGAAAACAAGAGAAGTGATTTTTGCACATATTATTATTAATAAATATTTTATATTAAATGTGCCAATGTGATTTTGACCATACTAAGACCATATATATAAGTCCACCATTCATTCACAACCTCATTGCAATTAACCATCCAAACAAAAACACTCTTCCTCCTACGTCTTAGAAAAAACAGCAATGGCATCAATCTTTAACAATTTCGCCTTCTTGGCCAAAAACAAGAATAAGACGGCAAGGCTTAGATTGGTCAGAACCTACCCGCGCTTTTATCAGTCGAACAAAGCAAAAATCAGCGGACATGAATTTGTTTTTCATGAAGGCAATGTGTACGACATCACAAATTTTGCACTTGTGGAAGACAAAAGTGCATTCAAGATAACCAAATCAATTCACAAGTTGATTTTCTATAAACAAACTAAAACGCATGAGAAAGTTGATGACGAGTATCCGAGGTTGATGTTCGAGTTCAAGCAATTCAGCGAGCTAACCGTCCCCGAAACGATTGATTCTTGCACACCTTTTGGTATTTTTTATTTTTTATTTTTTTAATAATACAAATTATGGTAATGTTATATTATTTACTAATTTTTTTTATTTGTAGACATAATTGTCCGTATTGTTTTGTTTCAAAACATTCATACAAGAAATTCAAACGGCGGTCAAAAGAGATATGTTGACATCTATATATCGATAATTGCTGGTTAATCCTATTTAATAAAACGTTTAATAAAAATATTACAGTTTCCCGCCCAAAGACGTTAGAGGGCATGTATATATAAAACTTTTTTTTAATAAACACACACCTTATTATTTGCATGGATTATGTTGATTATTTAATATGATTAGACAGTTACAATCACGTACAATATGAATTATTTTCCCAATTAATAATTAGTTATTTTCTTATTCTTTTTTATTTTGCTCCATGAATGATTACAACACATATACAAATAATTATATTTAATAATAAATTAATCGACCACCCAAAAAATAAAAAAACATTACAAATACGTTCTTAATTGACCACCCCTAAGCTTCGATTAGACCTGCAAAAAAAATAAAAAAAATAAAAAAAGTAAACAAAACCGGAATGTTATTATTCCATGATTTTAGCACATAATTTATTCATATATCATTATTAATTGTCAGTTACAAAATATGGAGAGCAATGGAAAATAAGTGGCGGGCAAACTGAATTTTAAACTAAATGAAATGAAACAAGAAGGCATATAAAAATGGGCGGGTAATCTAAACCTAAAAAAAATTCAAATGAAATTTAAAAGAAATAAAAAAAGCGGCGGGAATAGTATTTGTGGGTTGGGTTGTAAGTTATTAAGAATCAAATATCAGTTACAAATTTAGAAAGGAAGGAAAAAGAGAAGGATGCGGAAAAGTTAAAGATAATGTGATATATTACAAAAACAAGAGGAGTGATTTTTGCACATATTATTATAAATTAATATTTTATATTAAATGTGCCAATGTGATTTGGACCATAATAAGACCATATATATAGGTCCACCATTCATTCACAACCTCATTGCAATTTACCATCCAAACAAAAACACTCTTCCTACTACGTTTTAGAAAAAACAGCAATGGCATCAATCTTTAACAATTTGGCCTTCTTGGACAAAAACAAGAATAAGACAGCAAGGCTAGATTGGTCAGAACCTACCCGCGCTTTTATCAGTCGAACAAAGCAAAAATCAGCGGACATGAATTTGTTTTTCATGATGTGAAGGTATACATTTTTTTTAATTCTCTAATATTCAATTATTTTTTACTCGCAGCATTTCTATTGTCATTGCGTTTGACAATCTTCATTAATTTGGTTTTTTAGGGCCAGCGTATAGACGGCTGGGCACCCGGATGCTTATCGCAAAAGTTTAAGGAATTTAATCTTCTTGAAGGCAATGTGTACGACATCACAAATTTTTTCACTTGTGGAAGACAAAAGTGCATTCAAGATAACCAAATCAAGTCACAAGTTGATTTTCTACAAACAAACTAAAATGCATGTGATAGTTGATGACGAGAATCCGAGGTTGATGTTCGAGTTCAAGCAGTTCAGCGAGCTAACTGTCCCCGAAACGATTGATCCTTGTACACCTTTTGGTATATTTTTTTTTTTTTTAAATAATACAAATTATGGTAATCTTATATAATTTACTATTTTTTTTTATTTGTAGACATAATTGGCCGTATTGTTTTGTTTCAAAACATACATACAAGAAATTCAAATTGCGGTCAAAAGAGATATGTTGACATCTATATATAGATAATTGCTGGCTAATCCTATTTAATAAAATATTTAATAAAAAGATTTCAGTTTCCCACCCAAAGACGTTACAGGGCATGTATATATAGAACTTTTTTTAATTAACACACACCTTATTATTTGCATGGATTATGTTGATTATTTAATATGATTAGGGTGTTACAATAACGTACAATATGAATTATTTTCCCAATTAATAATTAGTTATTTTCTTATTCTTTTTTATTTTGTTCCATGAATGATCACAACACATATACAAATAATTATATTTAATAATAAATTAATTGACCACCCCAAAAAATAATAAAAAAATTACAAATACGTTCTTAATTGACCACCATTAAGCTTCGATTAGACCTGCAAAAAAAATAAAATAAAAATAAAAAAAAAAAGTAAACAATACAGGAATGTTATTATTCCATGATTTTAGCACATGATTTATTCATATTTTATTATTAATTGTCAGTTACAAAATATGGAGAGCAATGGAAAATAAGTGGCGGGCAAACTGAATTTTAAACTAAATGAAATGAAATTAGAAAGAATTAAAAAATGGGCAGGTAATCTAAATCTAAATAAAATTCAAATGAAATTTAAAAGCAATTAAAAAAGTGGCGGGAATAGTATTTGTGGGTTGGGTTGTTAGTTATTAAGAACCAAATATCAGTTACAAATTCAGAAAGGAAGGAAAAAGAGAGGGATGCGGAAAAGTGAAAGATAATGTGATATTATAAAAACAAGAGGAGTGATTTTTGCACATGTTATTATTACTAAATATTTTATATCAAATGTGCCAATGTTATTTTGACCATACTAAGACCATATATATAGGTCCACCATTCATTCACAACCTCATTGCAATTAACCATCCAAACAAAAACACTCTTCCTCCTACGTTTTAGAAAATACAGCAATAGCATCAATCTTTAACAATTTGGCCCAGAACAAGAATAAGACAACAAGGCTTAGATTGGTCAGAACCTACACGCGCTTTTATCAGTCGAGGTATACAATTTTCTTAATTCTCTAATATTCAATTATTTTTTTACTCGCAGCATTTCTACTGCCATTGCATTTGACAATCTTCATTAATTTGATTTTTTTAGGGCCAGCGTATACACGGCTGGGCACCCAGATGCTTATCGCAAAAGTTTAAAGAATTTAAACATCTTGAAGGCAATGTGTACGACATCACAAATTTTGCACTTATGGAAGACAAAAGTGCATTCAAGATTAACTAAATCAAGTCACAAGTTGATTTTCTATAAACAAACTAAAAAGCATGTGATAGATGATGACGAGAATCCAAGGTTGATGTTCGAGTTCAAGCAATTCAGCAAGCTAACCGTCCCCGAAACGATTGATCCTTGCACACCTTTTGGTATTTTTTATATTTTATTTTTTAAATAATACAAATTATGGTAATCTTATATTATTTACTAATTTTTTTTTTTATTTGTAGACATAATTGGCCGTATTGTTTTGTTTCAAAACACACATACAAGAAATTCAAATGGCGGTCAAACGAAATATGTTGACATCTATATATTAATAATTGCTGGCTAATCCTATTTAATAAAATATTTAATAAAAAGATTTCAGTTTCCCACCCAAAGACGTTACAGGGCATGTATATATAGAACTTTTTTTTTAATAAACACACACCTTATTATTTGCATGGATTATGTTGATTATTGAATATGATTATGGTGTTACAATCACGTACAATATGAATTATTTTCCCAATTAATAATTAGTTATTTTCTTATTCTTTTTTATTTTGCTCCATCAATGATTACAACACATATACAAATAATTACATTTAATAATAAATTAATTGACCACCGAAAAAATAATAAAAAAAATTACAAATACGTTCTTAATTGACCACCCTTAATCTTCGATTAGACCTGCAAAAAAAATAAAAAAAGATAAAAAAAGTAAACAATACAGGAATGTTATTATTCCATGATTTTAGCACATGATTTATTCATATTTTATTATTAATTGTCAGTTACAAAATATGGAGAGCAATGGAAAATAAGTGTCCGGCAAACTGAATTTTAAACTAAATGAAATGAAATTAGAAAGCATTTAAAAATGGGCGGATAATCTAAATCTAAATAAAATTCAAATGAAATTTAAAAGCAATAAAAAAAGCGGCGGGACTAGTATTTGTGGGTTGGGTTCTTAGTTATTAAGAACCAAATATTAGTCACAAATTCAGAAAGGAAGGAAAAAGAGAGGGAAGCGGAAAAGTGAAAGATAATGTGATATATTACAAAAACAAGAGGAGCGATTTTTGCACATATTATTAATAAATATTTTATATTAAATGTGCCAATGTGATTTTGACCATACTAAGACCATGTATATAGGTCCACCATTCATTCACAACCTCATTGCAATTAACCATCCAAACAAAAACACTCTTCCTCCTACGTTTTAGAAAAAACAGCAATGACATTAATCTTTAATAATTTGGCCTCGTTGGCCCAAAACAAGAATAAGACAGCAAGGCTTAGATTGGTCAGAACCTATCCGCGCTTTTATCAGTCGAACAAAGCAAAAATCAGCGGACATGACTTTGTTTTTCATGATGTGAAGGTATGCAATTCTTTTAACTCTCTAATATTCAATTATTTTTTCACTCGCAGCATTTCTACTGCCATTGCGTTTGACAATCTTCATTAATTTGGTTTTTTTAGGGCCAGCGTATACACGGCTGGGCACCCGGATGCTTATCGCAAAATTTTAAAGAATTTAAACTTTTTGAAGGCAATGTGTACGACATCAAAAATTTTGCACTTGTGGAAGACAAAAGTGCATTCAAGATAACCAAATCAAGTCACAAATTGATTTTCTACAAACAAACTAAAATGCATGAGATAGTTGATGACGAGTATCCGAGGTTGATGTTCGAGTTCAAGCAATTCAGCGAGCTAACCGTCTCCGAAACGATTGTTCCTTGCACACCTTTTGGTATTTTTTATTTTTTATTTTTTAAATAATACAAATTATGGTAATCTTATATTATTTACTATTTTTTTTATTTGTAGACATAATTGGCCGTATTGTTTTGTTTCAAAACATTCATACAAGAAATTCAAACGGCGGTCAAAAAATATATGTTGACATCTATATATCGATAATTGCTGGTTAATCCTATTTAATAAAACATTTAATAAAAATATTTCAGTTTCCCGCCCAAAGACGTTACAGGGCATGTATATATAGAACTTTTTTTTTAATAAACACACACCTTATTATTTGCATGGATTATGTTGATTATTTAATATGATTAGGCAGTTACAATCACGTACAATATGAATTATTTTCCCAATTAATAATTAGTTATTTTCTTATTCTTTTTTATTTTGCTCCATGAATGATTACAACACATATACAAATAATTACATTTAATAATAAATTAATTGACCACACCAAAAAATAATAATAAAATTACAAATACGTTCTTAATTGACCACCCTTAAGCTTCGATTAGACCTTCAAAAAAAAATAAAATAAAAACAACGTAAAAATACAGGAATGTTATTATTCCATGATTTTAGCACATGATTTATTCATATCTTATTATTAATTGTCAGTTACAAAATATAGAGAGCAATTGAAAATAAGTGACAGGCAAACTGAATTTTAAACTAAATGAAATGAAATTAGAAAGAATTTAAAAATAGGCGGGTAATCTAAATCTAAATAAAATTCAAATGAAATTTAAAAGTAATAAAAAAAGTGGCGGGAATAGTATTTGTGGGTTGGGTTGTTAGATATTAAGAACCAAATATCAGTTACCAATTCAGAAAGGAAGGAAAAAGAGAGGGATGCGGAAAAGTGAAAGATAATGTGATATATTACAAAAACAAGAAGAGTGATTTTTGCACATATTATAATTAATAAATATTTTATATTAAATGTGCCAATGTTATTTTGACCATACTAAGACCATATATATAGGTCCACCATTCATTCATAACCTCATTGCAATTAACCATCCAAACAAACACACTCTTCCTCCTACGTTTTACAAAAAACAGCAATGACATCAATCTTTAACAATTTGGCCCAAAACAAGAATAAGACAGCAAGGCTTAGATTGGTCAGCGGACATGAATTTGTTTTTCATGAAGGCAATGTGTACGACATCACAAATTTTGCACTTGTGGAAGACAAAAGTGCATTCAAGATAACCAAATCAAGTCACAAGTTGATTTTCTACAAACAAACTAAAAAGCATGTGATAGTTGATGACGAGATGTTCGAGTTCAAGCAATTCAGCGAGCTAACCGTCCCCGAAACGATTGATCCTTGCACACCTTTTGGTTTTTTTTATTTTTTATTTTTTAAATAATACAAATTATGGTAATCTTATATTATTTACTAATTTTTTTTTTATTTGTAGACATAATTGGCCGTATTGTTTTGTTTCAAAACATATATACAAGAAATTGAAATGGCGGTCAAAAGAGATATGTTGAAATCTATATATGGATAATTGCTGGCTAATCCTATTTAATAAAATATTTAATAAAAAGATTTCAGTTTCCCACCCAAAGACGTTACATGACATGTATATATAGAACTATTTTTTAATAAACACACGCCTTATTATTTGCATGGATTATGTTGATTATTTAATATGATTAGGGTGTTACAATCACATACAATATGAATTATTTTTCCAATTAATAATTAGTTATTTTCTTATTCTTTTTCATTTTGCTCCATTAATGATTGCAACATATACAATAATTACATTTAATAATAAATTAATTGACCACCGAAAAAATAATAATAAAAATTACAAATACTTTCTTAATTGACCACCCTTAAGCTTCGATTAGACCTGCAAAAAAAAATATATATATAAAAAAAATTGTAAACAATACAGGAATGTTATTATTCCATGATTTTAGCACATGATTTATTCATATTTTATTATTAATTGTCAGTTACAAAATATGGAGAGCAACGGAAAATAAGTGACAGGCAAACTGAATTTTAAACTAAATGAAATGAAATTAGAAAGAATTTAAAAATGGGCAGGTAATCTAAATGTAAATAAAATTCAAATGAAATTTAAAAGCAATAAAAAAAGTGGCGGGAATAGTATTTCTGGGTTGGGTTGTTAGTTATTAAGAGCCAAATATCAGTTACAAATTCAGAAAGGAAGGAAAAAGAGTGGGATGCGGAAAAGTGAAAGATAATGTGATATATTACAAAATCAAGAAGAGTGATTTTTGCACATATTATTATTAATAAATATTTTATATTAAATGTGCCAATGTTATTTTGACCATACTAAGACCATATATATGTCCACCATTCATTCACAACCACATTGCAATTAACCATCCAAACAAAAACACTCTACCTCCTACGTTTTAGAAAAAACAGCAATGGCATCAATCTTTAACAATTTGGCCCAAAACAAGAATAAGACAGCAAGGCTTAGATTGGTCAGAACCTACACGCGCTTTTATCAGTCGAGGTATACAATTTTTTTAATTCTCTAATATTCAATTATTTTTTTACTCGCAGCATTTCTACTGCCATTGCATTTGACAATCTTCATTAATTTGATTTTTTTAGGGCCAGCGTATACACGACTGGGCACCCAGATGCTTATCGCAAAAGTTTAAAGAATTTAAACTTCTTGAAGGCAATGTGTACGACATCACAAATTTTGCACTTGTGGAAGACAAAAGTGCATTCAAGATAACCAAATCAAGTCACAAGTTGATTTTCTACAAACAAACTAAAAAGCATGTGATAGTTGATGACGAGAATCCGAGGTTGATGTTCGAGTTCAAGCAATTCAGCGAGCTAACCGTCCCCGAAACGATTGATCCTTGCACACCTTTTGGTATTTTTTATTTTTTATTTTTTAAATAATACATATCATGGTAATCTTACATTATTTACTAATTATTATTTTTTTATTTGTAGACATAATTGGCCGTATTGTTTTGTCTCAAAACATACATACAAGAAATTCAAATGACAGTCAAAAGAGATATGTTGACATCTATATATATATAATTGCTGGCTAATCCTATTTAATAAAACATTTAATAAAAAGGTTTCAATTTTCCGCCAAGAGACGTTACAGGGCATGTATATATACAACTTTTTTTTAATAAACACACACCTTATTATTTGCATGGATTATGTTGATTATTTAATATGATTAGGGTGTTACAATCACGTACAATATGAATTAATTTTCCAATTAATAATTAGTTATTTTCTTATTCTTTTTTATTTTGCTCCATGAATGATTACAACACATATACAAATAATTACATTTAATAATAAATTAATTGACCACCGAAAAAATAAAAAAAAAAATTACAAATACGTTCTTAATTGACCACCCTTAAGCTTCGATTAGACCTGCAAAAAAAATAAAAAAAATAAAAAAAAAGTAAAAAATACAGGAATGTTATTATTCCATGATTTTAGCACATGACTTATTCATATTTTATTATTAATTTTCAGTTACAAAATATGGAGAGCAATGGGAAATAAGTGGTCGGCAAACAGAATTTTAAACTAAATGAAATGAAATTAGAAAGCATTTAAAAATGGGCGGGTAATCTAAATCTAAATAAAATTCAAATGAAATTTAAAAGCAATAAAAAAAAGCGACGGGAATAGCATTTGTGGGTTGGGTTGTTAGTTATTAAGACCAAATATCAGTTACAAATTCAGAAAGGAAGGAAAAAGAGAGGGAAGCGGAAAAGTGAAAGATAATGTGATATATTACAAAAACAAGAGGAGTGATTATTGCACATATTATTAATTATAAATATTTTATATTAAATGTGCCAATGTGATTTTGACCATACTAAAACAATATATATAGGTCCACCATTCATTCACAACCACATTGCAATTAACCATCCTAAAAAAAAAAACACTCTTCCTCATACGTTTTTAACAATTTGACTTTCTTGGCCAAAAACAAGAATAAGACAACAAGGCTTAGATTGTTCGGAACCTACCCGCGCTTTTATCAGCCGAACAAAGAAAAAATCAGCTGACATGAATTTGTTTTTCATGATGTGAAGGTATACATTTTTTTTAATATCAGTTACAAATTCAGAATGGAAGGAAAAAGAGACGGATGCGGAAAAGTGAAAGACAAAAACAAAAGGAGTGATTTTTGCATATATTATTATTATTATTTATTTTATATGAAATGTGCCAATGTGATTTTGACCATACTAAGACCATATATATAGGTCCACCATTCATTCACAACCTCATTGAAATTAACCATCAAAACAAAAACTCTCTTCCTCCTACGTTTTAGAAGAAACAACAACGACATCAATCTTTAACAATTTGACCTTCTTGGCAAAAAACAAGAATAAGACAGCAAGGCTTAGATTGGTCAGAACCTACCCGCGCTTTTATCAGTCGAACAAAGCAAAAATCAGCGGACATGAATTTGTTTTTCATGATGTGAAGGTATACAATTTTTTTAATTTTCTAATATTCAATTATTTTTTACTCGCAGCATTTCTACTGCCATTGCGTTTGACAATCTTCATTAATTTGGTTTTTTTAGGGCCAACATATACAAGGCTGGGCACCCGGATGCTTATCGCAAAAAGTTAATGCTTATCGCAAAAAGTTAATGCTTATCGCAAAAAGTTAAAGAACTTAAACTTCTTGAAGTCAATGTGTACGACATCACAAATTTTGCACTTGTGGAAGACAAAAAGTGCATTCAAGATCACCAAATCAAGTCACAAATTGATTTTCTACAAACAAACTAAAATGCATGAGATAGTTGATGACGAGTATCTGAGGTTGATGTTCGAGTTCAAGAAATTCAGCGAGCTAACCGACCCCAAAACGATTGATCCTTCCAAACATATATACAAATTATGTTTTTTTCTTTTTTCTTTTTTAAATAATACAAATTATGGTAATCTTATATTATTTACTAATTTTTTTATTTATTTGTAGACATAATTGGCCGTATTGTTTTGTTTCAAAACTTATATACAAGAAATTCAAATGGCGGTCAAAAGAGATATGTTGAAATCTATATATATATAATTGCTGGCTAATCCTATTTAATAAAACATTTAATAAAAAGATTTCAGTTTCCCGCCCAAAGACGTTACAGGGCATGTATATATAGAACTTTTTTTTTAATAAACACACACCTTATTATTAGCATGGATGATGCTGATTATTTAATATGATTAGGCAGTTACAATCACGTCCAATATGTATTATTTTCCCAATTAATAATTAGTTATTTTCTTATTCTTTTTTATTTTGCTCCATGAATGATTACAACACATATACAAATAATTAATACAACACATACAAATAATTACATTTAATAATAAATTTGACCACACTTAAAAATAATAAAAACAAATTACAAATACGTTCTTAATTGACCACCCTGAAGCTTCGATTAGACATGCAAAATATAAAAATTAGAAAACAATATAGGAATGTTATATTCTATGAATTTAGCATATGATTTATTCATATTTTATTATTTATTGTCAGTTACAAAATATGGAGAGCAATGGAAGATAAGTGATGGGCAAACTGAATTTTAAACTAAATGAAATGAAATTAGAAAGCATTTAAAAATGGGAAGGTAATATAAATCTAAATAAAATTCAAATGAAATTTAAAAGCAATAAAAAAAGCGGCGGGAATAGTATTTGTGGGTTGGGTTGTTAGTTATTAAGAACCAAATATCAGTTACAAATTCAGAAAGGAAGGAAAAAGAGAGGGATGCGGAAAAGTGAAAGATAATGTGATATATTGCAAAAACAAGAGGAGTGATTTTTGCACATGTTATTATTAATAAATATTTTATATTAAATGTGCCAATGTAATTTTGACCATACTAAGACCATATATATAGGTCCACCATTCATTCACAACCTCATTGCAATTAACCATCCAAACAAAAACACTTTTCCTCATACGTTTTTAACAATTTGACCTTCCTGGCCAAAAACAAGAATCAGACAACAAGGCTTAGATTGGTCAGAACCTACCCGCGCTTTTATCAGTTGAACAAAGCAAAAATCAGCTGACATGAATTTGTTTTTCATGATGTGAAGGTATACAATTTTTTTAATTCTCTAATATTCAATTATTTTTTACTCGCAGCATTTCTACTGCCATTGCGTTTGACAATCTTCATTAATTTTGTTTTTTTTGGGCCAGATGCTTATCGCAAAATTTTAAAGAATTTAAACTTCTTGAAGGCAGTGTGTACGACATCACAAATTTTGCACTTGTGGAAGACAAAAGTGCATTCAAGATAACCAAATCAAGTCACAAGTTGATTTTCTACAAACAAACTAAAATGCATGAGATAGTTTATGACGAGTATCCGAGGTTGATGTTTGAGTTCAAGCAATTCAGCGAGCTAACCTTCCCCGAAACGATTGATCCTTGCACACCTTTTGGTATTTTTTATTTTTTATTTTTTAAATAATACAAATTATGGTAATCTTATATTATTTACTAATATTTTTATTTGTAGACATTATTGGCCGTATTGTTTTGTTTCAAAACATACATACAAGAAATTCAAATGGCGGTCAAAAGAGATATGTTGACATTGTTCTTCAAGATGTTGACTAAGTTATATGTACATACAACTTTGGTTTTATTTTAATTTGAGCATTGATATCTTTCATAAATTAATTGTTTATTTTTTTGTACATTGTAGGGGCTACCACCAAACTTGCACCCTCTGGGAATCATATGCGGAAAAACTGATAGCCTCCTACAAAATGTCGGATCCAACGGAAATGAAAATACTCATAATCCAACTTTACCATGCAAAGTCATATGATGATGGTATATATTATTTGGTCTTATTGCTCCTATTACTATTTTAGATTTATTTTACAATTTTTAATATTGTCCCAAAAAAATTTATTTTTTGTAGGATCTGTTTTGTTTTCCAACATTTATGATGCTACAAAATTGATAATCTCGAATGATGTTCCCGAGATTATTGATTTCAAACAAAGGTATATATCCTATGCCAAAAATACCTAATTATTATTATGTAATACTATATTTGGTCAAATAAAAGACTAATTAAATTAAATTTTTATTTCACTAGGTACAATTCCCACACAAGGCCAAGGGACTCTTCATTTAGGTCTTTCAAGAGTCCCGAGTAGCTACTCGGCTTTAAGTGTTAGTTCACGAGCAAGGGATAACCGAGAACAAACAAAGGAAGTCACGAGCGCCCGTGCATCCGTGCCACACCCTAGCACCCGCGTCCACGCCTAAGACGTTGGTCCCGAGCCAAGGGTCAAACCTCCAACACCTTAGCTAATCCATGAGATTACGAGTGATTTAGGAGTCATGAGAAGCATTTTCAGCTTAGTTAACCTTAAGAAAGATTAGCCAAAGTCAAACCTTCATTAGACATTTTCTTTCCCTAATTAAGTCTAGCATGGGCATGTTATTTGAATAAGATGTGTAAGGCATGATCCCCATTACTTTTGTGACCTGACCAGACCACTTACACATGCCTTATTGCTCTGCAAAACCATGCCTTTCCACTCTAAACTCCACCAAGTCAGCCCATGCACCATTGTTAGCTTTGGAAATGAGGCCTTCCACTTTTGTCTCCCATGATTGTTGCCTAATTTCTATCGCCCCATAGACCCTATTTGGGACTTAACTCAGCCTTCTCTCATTCCTCATTTGTCTACCAGCAAGTACTTAGTAAAGTTGTGAGAATAATCCAGCAAATACTTGAGAGTTACACCAAAACCGAGAGCATTCTAGCCAAACTGAGAGTTAGAAAGCAAAAATCCCGAGTGCACACTTGTGATTATTTTCGA